TAGATGTTTGTGAAGTCAAAATACTAAGTTTGTAGTTTCGTACGAATTAGAAACTTACCGATATTGACAAGCTAGAATATAAAATAAGAATAGCTTATCTTTTCTATTTGCTAAGATATTGCTCGTGTAATAAATCAAACACAGTGGCATCCTGACTACCTCTTTCCATTTTTGGAAACGCTCTCTTATATACACTTACTTCTATATATGACATGAATACCCAATTGAAAGCTCAGAATGTCCCCCTAGTGGCCTTCTCACCCATTTTAACGTGTTTGAACGCCATCTCTCTCTTGAAATCTTGGTTTGAAAGAAAGATATGGCATTCAAACACGTTAAAATGGCTGAGAAGGCCACTAGGGGGACATTCTGAGCTTTCAAGGAGGTAGGTTGTGTATTTACTCTGCTCGAAATTGGTTTGTTATGAATTTCACGCAAAGCCACACCAGGGCTATTTGCGCTAGCCGTCGCTAATTTAGCCGTTTAAGACTAGAGGAAAGGCAGCTAGTCATCACCACCCACCGCCAACTCTTGGGCTACTCTTTTACCAATGAATAGTGGGATTGACCGTACATTATAACGCCCCCACTGCTGAAAGGGCTAGCATGTTTGGTGGGACGGGGATTCGAACCCGCAGATTGCGAGTCGAGCGCCCTAACCACCTGGCCATGCCGGGCCTGCTTGAAATTTTATATTTTTTAGACTGAAATAGAGCTTAATTAATCAGCTTAACAAATTGTAGTGGAATTCTATGGTATCAATATAGTAATTTATGATTTATGGGTTATTCAACTGTATATATATATATAAAACCTAGAAAAAATATTTCCTCCATGTGCGAAAATTTAAAAGGCTTAGCACCCTACGTCAAGCAGCAACCAAGTACAAAGGTTGTAACTCTAATTGTTTGCTTTATTCTTTATTTACTGTTCTGTGTTTTATGTACAATAAATTTAAGAACTTATATCTAAATAGCAATAATCTATATACATATATATTGTATAATAATTGAAATGTGACTGTATTTTACAAAATACTAGTTGACTAAAACACAGCAAAGACAGGTACTTTGTAAAGACTAAAGGTCATTTTTATATTATTGGATACGGTAACACGAGAGCACATGTGCTGCGTCATTGTAACTTCTGTAGTTTTAGCCAGACACGGCTGAAAGGTCAATATAATAAAAATAATAGATATATATATATATATTATAATGTTATGAGATTTAAGCTATTTAGTCTAAACATTTATGTTTTCGTGTTATAGTCTGTTGTCATTCTAGGATGAAAGAGGCATAATTTATATTTATTTCCTAATTTTTTATGGTAGTTACCAGATCGGTCAAATCTACCGAACCCGAACAGAGATTCTATAACTATAACAAGCACAAAATGGTTACAAGATCGGTCCCAGAAACCGAGCCCATGCTGAAAGAGTTAATCTCAGCGTCATCATTACGACCTGCAGCTTGCTCTAGTTAGCAAACAAATTATAACATTAAAAATACAGCTTACATATTTTATCTTCCTGTGAAGTCCCTTATAAACAAATAAAACACTAGTCTGTCCTTTCACCAAGTCTTTTTGGTGGTTTTCACTTCCAAGGCCAATGGTATACAGATGGGATAGCATCTCGCCCTTTGCTGTCATTGGGCATTTTATCACTAGAGGATATCTCCATAGATGAAAATAATCATCTAATCAAAATTAGGATCTCTATCCTTACTATTTTTGATTATTCCAATTATTCAAGTAATCAGCCATTATGTTTCTTGTTTTTTAAAGCACAAAGCTACGAGATGGGCTATCTGGACTCTGCCCACTGCAAGTATCAAAACCCAATTTTTAGAATTATAAAAGTTGCTTTTCAAAACTATCTCATTGTGAAAATTATCAATTAATGAGTCAGACGATTAATTGATTAGCAAATTCCACTAATTTTCCAGCTATATGCATATATAGTCATGACAGAATTTGATATTGAAGTATTATCTGTACAGCATCACATCTTTCAATGTCCTATCCAGATTTGATCAAATTGTGTGCTCTTTTGTGTTTATGGCTCTAATGATGAAATCTTTATTCTTCAAATCCATGAGACTTCAACCAACCATTAACCCATCATGACATGCTGATGTGTTTGATTCTGTTTCGGTTCAGTCACTAAAGATAGATTCATTTTTAACAAGTCCCTTGTAACACAGCTAATGAACTCGTGTTGTTTATATAAGTCTTTCATACACTGTACAAAACAATTTAATAGATTATTGGAATATTACACCTCTGATGAGACAAACTATTATTAAAAAACATCATCAATCACCCCTTCAATTCATAGTTAAATGAAATGGGTATATGATGATCAGTTATGTGAGTTCATATACAAATTACAGGTCATTCAGCCTATGCTATATAAGGACTTAATCCTGGCTCACTGATCACTTTGATTCAAAGTACACATTTATTATCCACGAATGTTTCACCAAGTAGAAACTACTGAAGAAATAGGAGTCATCCACTTACAGAAGGCTTTTAAAAGTTGGTTACAAGTGTCCCAAAATGTCACTAACTGAACGTGAAGGTGATTCCAAACAGTTGCTTAGTATAGAAAGAAAAAATACTGGTGGATGCATGAAGTTATATAACATACAGAATGGTACCATTAATGTCACACATTATCAGGACCACAACTTTTTGTACTGTCATATAGTGGTGTTTTTGGCCCTCATTTTAGACTAATGAATGATAACACTCACTGTCATCATACTTAGGGTTGCCAGACATCCCAGTAAAACTGGAATCTTCCCATTTCTTAGTTTTATTTCTTTCTCACAATCAGAAACAGTAAAAATATTAAATTGTCCCAGTTTCTCAAACCTCAATGTCAGTTTGATATGTACAGTGTGTCGCTAAACATGGCTTTTTACATTTTACCTGAACAATCACCTGACAAAGACAGATCACATGGTAAACTGTTCCCTCCACTTTCTTAACCTAACCTGTCATTGGGAAGCATAGACACTGA